TTTAGTAAAAAAACAAATTAGTAAACTTAAAAAAAATAATAAAAAAAAGAGTTCCCAATGAGAAGCACATGCTATTGTAAGACTTTGAGTATTGAATCTACCAGAATAAAGTATTTTTGAAAGAGAATAAAAACACTTTGCATTAAACAGTCATTAACAGTTCAGTAAGTCACATTCTATATAATTGCATATGCAGTACAGAGCCTACCTTTCACAAATATTCCCATATGCAAAGCCAATATATCTTTAAGCAGCACCACTAGTGATTTCTGCTGTCCACCTGGTATTAAGCTTTAGACTACTTAATTATGTCCTCCACAAGAGCCAAATACAAAGCTTTTTAAACAATGACTGTAAAAAAGACTATGAGAATTTTTGCTGGGTTTTTTTTTAAGTACATTCTTAATATTTTATTCATAAGTAGCTAAGTTAAAACATCTTTTTTTTAAGAAAAAGGCAAATTAAAAAATGGATTCAAATAGGTTTCTCTTCTGTTAGGGGACAGAAAGCTATGAGGTATTTTGTGCAAGCTCACAGAGTGTGTGATTGAACAGGAGAAAGAAAATCTGAGCGTGAAAGAAAATTCCAGGATCCTAAAAAAAACCCCTCTGCTCCATCTAATTCATTATTCAATAAATGCCTGTTCAATCCCAGAAAGCTTCACTCTACAAGCAGGCTGGTAAGAGCTTTAGGACTTACACAGCCAGCTTCTAAGGTTATAAAACTCAATCATGTGAAATGACAGTTGAGCAGTACAGACTGAAGTGCCAACCTCCAAACTATAGTTTAAAAAAGGGTTAAAAAGCTATTTTGATGTGTGGGATAGCCTTTATTTTGTATTTCCTCTAGAAATTAATTCAGTATACAAATTCTACTTAAGATGACTTGGCAAGCACAACCTAGCAATTAGATAGCAAAATACAGTACCCCCCACCACAGTTTTGTGCACAGATACATTATTTACAAGGAAATGCTTTCCCAAAAGTGTAAAACAGAGGCAGAAAACGGCTGAGTGCAGCCAGAAAAGGAATTCACCAAATAAGGCAGGAAAACTTGCCTGTCAGTACTGGTAATGAGGAAACCAATAGGGTAGGTTTCATTTCCAGCCCTGGGTTACAAATGTGAATCAACCCAAGCCAGAATTTATAAGCAGAATGCAGGAATTTTGGCAGACAGGCAAGTAATTAAGCTTCACTTGTCTGGAACATGGGTTTTGTTGGTTTGGGCTGCAAAGCAGCTCTCTTCCTTGCCATAACAGGACCTTCCAATTTTGTAAGGTGGGTCTGCTCAACAGCAAACCTCAGACCTTCAGTGATTTTTCCCATAAACATTATGTCTTAGACTATAGAAATACCTGCAGTCTAGAAGAATGTAAAGCTCACACAGACCTTTATTTCCAATCTGTTTAATGTAAGTCATTAATTCAACCATGACCAATGCTACAGCATCAACTGGGAAACTGTTTCACTGCTACTGCATGACCTCTGAGTCTCTGGCTTTCCTATCTGTAAAATGTCAGTAACAGTTCACCACTTTCTACAAAAGTGTTCTGATGCCACCAGAAGAAAGCGTCTAAAGGGCAAATTAATACTATTCTTCCTAGAATGCTCATACATGGTGCTACTTGTCAATGCTTCTGTTATTCAATAGAGAAAACATTTTTGAGTATCTCTAAAAATATGAAAGGATTTTTGTCAAAACTCCATTATAGGGGGTACTGACAGCCCTCAGCACAGTAAGCCAAGCCTGATTTTTGCACTGCATCTGCAATATCTTTTATACTTGGGCAGCTGGCATAGAGTGAGAAAATTCATTAACATGCTAATGATGTGTCCTATTTAAAATTCCAGCTCTGATTATTGTGTGATTAAGTCTCTTCCCTTGACGTCTGCTTCCTTATATCTGCATTACTGTGAGAAATCAACAATTATTAATGAAGGAAAAAAATAGGTTACCAATTTATACACAAGAGGAAGGCAAACATACACACATATTTCAGCATTTCAATGTTTTCCAGACAAAGCAGTATTATCTTCCCTCAAAAAAAATAATAAAGTTTTCAAGAAGTTCACCGGCACAAAAGATAACAGTTCAAGTACCAGATGAGAAATAGCCATGCATAGGAGGAATACCTGCATAGAAGGTTTTAAGGTTCTATTAAAAACAGAGGGAGGGCTCCTGATGCAGGAAAAGTAGAAGATTATGCCCTGGAAATAATACAAAAGCAAGAATGAGAGGAAACAACAGCTCCAGTTGATCTGATTACCGCTCCCAAAGAAAAATGAAGCATCTCCTTTCTACAGTGAAAGACATTTAAACCGACTTACTTAAACGAGCATTCATTTGCCTTCAAAATGAGAAGACCAAGGGACCGTTTTCTTTGCATTACTTTCAGTAACTTACGTTTAGCTACAGACAGACACCCATTTCATTGTGTTGAGCCAAAGCATAGCACAGCTGTGTCACAAAGAATCACAGGTACATCCCTACTGCACACCAGGACACAGATCAGCCAGCCTAGCCCAGATTCGTTTTGCTGTTTAAGTTCACATAGCCTGAAGGGTTCCCTAATGAAATCTGTGCAAGCAGCTAGTAAGAAAAGCCAGAGGACAGTAACATCCTCAGCTAGTAGAGTTAGGTGAAGAAGGGATTTCTCTCACTGGCTTCTAACTATAAGGAGAAGTCAAACTAACCAAGAATAGGCTTCATCAAGCAATGGTACCATTCATGCTAATTTTACCCATGGCACAGATCAGCTGAGCACATGCTGCACTAGTAGCTCAAAGAAGAGAAATCATTTTTCTCAGACTACGCTCTCCCAAAATCACACTGTCCCCAAAACCAAGGCGTCAGCACACCCTGCATCACAAGCCCCATGGCCCTGCTGCACCCCTTGTGCTGATGCTGGACATCCCACCAGGCACTAGTGGGTCTTATAGGCACACCGATATCCAGCTCATAGCAGGCTTCTGGTCTGCGCTTCCGTACAGGATGGGGAAGAAACACAAGTAAAAGGCAAAACCACCCTTCTCAACCGCAACACAGATTTTACTTGTGTAAATGAACCACAAAGCCTGAGAACGTGCATTAAGTCAGCTTGGCCACCCTGACTCAAATTTCACCTTTCACAGTGCAGACAAAGCCAACACAATTATCTACAGTTCTTTTAAACAACAACAAAACCAAATGGTAACAAATCATATTCCAATTGTTTATGCTTTTTCTCCAAATATAAAAGTACTTTACAAAATAACAACTGGTTCATAAAGTGGATGCTGTCTGAGATATAATCTAGATACTGTTTTCCAGAGTGTACCAGAAGGCTTACATTCAGTTAAATGTGTTGGTACCAAACTCATACTAGTGTTCTCAAACCCACCTGAGTTTTCATTTGTCAAAGGAGAAAATGGTGCAGATAACACACAAGGAGGGCAGAGATGAGGAAAAAGGATGATCTCAGATTTTCATTTGGGTCTCTGACTAGTATCTGCTTGATATTTTATTTTACACAAGGATAAATTTCTCCTTACGCCTACAGAATCACAATAAATTGAAAGAATAATCCATGTAGTAAACACAGTATTTTGCAATTTATTGCCATAAACTGTAGGAGAGCAGAGGTCAGACCAAGAAGACACCTCATTACAGCTACATATATGCAAAATGGAAAGAAAAAAATATCTGCGAACCACTACCAATTCTGTTACATCAGCAAGAGTCTTGCAGAGGTTTTCTTTAAAACCCTGCTGCAGAAAAGTACAAATGAGAAGCACATGCGTGTTATCAAAAGTTTAATTGTCCTAGAAACAAAGGAGCAGATTAGAAGGTCAGAACCCTCTTCAACTCACTTGGAAGCCCAAGCAACAAGGAAGCATTGCCTGGTGTGTATTTGCAACTTCAGATCACAATGCACTAATCTGGGGAATCAGAATTTTTATCTAGTTTCTAAGAAAGCGAGTTCTTCCCTAGTAGCATGTGTGCACATATATATTATTCTGTGCATTTTTAAAACATTGTTGTAAGACATATCCAAGTGCCTACAAAACTTTGCTTCTAGGATAGCTCTGCTTATCCATTTGCCTATGAAGAAACTTCATATAATTTTAAAACAGAGGTGCTTTCCTCTCTTCAACCACCTTATAAGATCTGGAAAAAGGAAAGACATTTCAAACCCCTAAAGCTTTAAAGTAGCTCTCAGATTTATACTTAGCTGTTTAGAGGTAACTATAGTAACTGTATGTTTGTAGTCAATTAAATGTTATTCAGCCTTTTCATTTAATCAAGCAGCAAGGCCACTTTATCTGCTTAATTTCAGGAGAGGATACAGCAGATAAGAGGCTAAGTCAAGTCTAGGAACAACCATGCTGTCTGTTAATTTGTCAGTAGCTTTCACAGTAATTCCAGAGAACTCCAATTCCACCATGACACTACAACCCAAGCACACTGCTTACAGTTACATGTGAGATGCATTTGGCAAGCTGTTTAAACCCCAACTCAAACTAAATTTACAAAGAGAACTCTTGCTTTCTGAACCAGCCATCCCTTGCACCTCGTACATCACTCATCACCAAGTGTTTTATATATATATATACACATTAAATATTTAGTTACATATCCTAAATACATTGCTATTGTCACAGCCAGCCACATCTACTGCTTCCACGTAAAGGACCACATATGTTTCTCTGTATGTAAATACATGCACAGTATCATCATTACTATTATAAAAATGGGCTTAGAAAACAAAGTTTTTTGGAACAGGGCTAAGAGATTTCAAGAATCCGTATGTTGCTGGAATACCCCTTCTCCCCCTTCAGACTCTCTCACCTGAAGTGGAAACAGCTGAGAGCATATTCAGCATAATGCTTATCCAGGTCCTGGCCAAACTTACCTCAGAAAAATCAGTGTATTGCGTGAAATGCAGGATGGTTCATCAAACCCTGTAGACATCTAGGATCTCATGACTGAGCAAAAGCTGCAAGAGTCTGTGAACTACTTACCAAAGGCAGTCTCTCCTTCTTCAAGTTCTTGTTTCAGTCTGGTGTAATCGTCTTTGATTCTCTCTAGTTTTCGGAGATTTCTGGCACTCAGAACCAACAGTTCACTGAGAAGTCCTTCCAGCCCCTCCTTCTCTGATGTTAATGATCTTATTTCTTCTGTAAGATCCTTCGCAGTACCAAAATTACTTCCTGTGTGTTTTGTGGGGACAGGGGTAGGGAGACGAAAGAGACAATGAAGCAGATACTTGCAATATCAGTAGGTTACACAACAAACAAGGGAAATTAAGCAATTATACTTCTCAAAAGCAACTGAAAGACCAATCTGAGGGGGGGAAGGGCAAAAGAAAAAGAAAAAAACCAAACTGCTTTGCAAGCATCCATTTCAATAATATGCTACAAAACCAATCATGACTGTAGCAAATTTATCCTTACACATACCGAAATACCGTCTTCAAATTACAGATATAATTTACGATTTTGAAGAAAACCTGTTCCTAAGGGTTCATAATTCAAAAAATGTCATACTGTAATTCCCTGATCACCACAGTGTGATCTGTCAGACCATTTTCTTCTCTTGGAGAACACCTCAACTTGCAATACTTTTGAAATAGATGCTATCAATCTACTAGACTCTGAAGTATTTCTTCTTGAACAAAACAGCACTATGATGTTGCTCCTAAGAAGAATCAGAAGATTGCTTATAAATGACACACAGCATTTCTTAAATGGCATACAGCCTGTGCGAAGACTGTCAGGAGATGTTCTTCTGAGAGACTATACTTGAAAGTCACAACTCTCCAGTTCTGGTTCTCCCTGAAGCATAAAACCTCAGACACAGGCAGAATACCTCAGTATCACCAGCTCACACTGCTCTGCGTTTTTCAAAAATGACTGGCTCCTTTGGACAGGGATCCAGAGTCAAAAGTTCAGTTCCCAACTGGTCTGCAGTACAGCCAAGCAACATTTGCCCTGTCCTGGGTTTAGCAGTGGCAGTCATTTTTCTCTTTCTTGGTAGCTGGTGCAGGGCTGTGTTTTGACTTTCAGCTGGGAACAGAGCTGAAAAACAATGATGTTTTGGTTTGGCCAAGGACTCTGTGGGCCTCATGCTCTGCCAGGGAGGAGGGGGAGCCGGGAGGAAGCAGAGACAGGACACCTGACCCAAACTGACCAAAGAGGTATTCCATACCACAGCACGTCATGTCCAGGATGTAACTGGGAGTTACCCGGAAGGGCTGAGTGGACTGCAGGGTTGGAGGAGGTATGGGTCGGTGCTTGGTCGGGCTGGGGGTGGGCTAGTTATCAGTCGCCTGGTGATGGGGTGTTGTATTTTCTTCCCTTGTTATTTCCTTTATCATTACTATTATTGGTGGTAGCAGTAGTGATTTGTGTTATACCTTAGTTACTAAACTGTTCTTATCTCAACCCGTGGGAGTTGCATTCTTTCTGATTCTTCTCTCCGTCCCTCCAGGAGTAAGGGGAGGGCAAGAAACGGGGGGGAGTGGGTAACAAGCTGTCTGGTTGGGTTAAAACCACGACATGCCCACTTGACCTTTCTGAATACCATTTTTACAAGAACCTGAGAGGAATGTTTCCTTACTGCACAGGGAAGCCTTGAGTATATATAGACAATAACAGTCTGAGATGCTCAGCTATTAAATGATTCTTAAAGTGCAGTAGAGTAACTGTTACAATGCTACATTTATACAGATGAACCTGTGTGTTTTCAGTGATTCAGTTGCTTGACCGGGGGAAAAGAAAAAAACAAAAAAAAACCACTTTAAAGAATACCAATTTCCATGTAGACTTACCCAATACAAGATAAAAGACCTATAGCACAAGATCTACACTCTAGCATCATCCTGACTTAGCAAAAATTTGGTGGTATAATAAATTAATGCACTTAGAAAATTTAGTCTTGAAGCAAATATAAAGCACATTCGGTCACGCGTGTAAGCCATATAATGGCTTCTGAAGTGCACGCAATGACTTCAGACTCCAGAAATAACTATAATACCACCAGCATTATTAAGATACAAAGATGTCCTTTGGCTTTTGTTTCTGGAATAAGATGTTGCTTACACAACAATTAAAAAGTATAGTTTAGAAAGTTGACACATAATCCAAAACATTAAATCCACATTAGAGTATTCTAAATTGTGGCTCACGTCCCTTTTACCTGGTGTCTCAAGAGTGCTGGTCACAAAGTCTTAAACAGGAATGTTTTGCCTGCTGTTCAGTTGCTTCAGGACAGAGGAGCGAGTATTTACACTGGTCAGAAACCACCGCCAGCTGCTAAGGACAGCTTCACTCCTCCAGAATGTAAGACCGAACAAAAGCACTTCCAGCAAACAACTACAATCATCCTCCTGGAGGAAAGAAGCTGCTGCAAACTGAAGTGGAGAAAAGTGTGCCAAAGGGAGATGGCACTTCCAAGAATTTAGAGAAAAATGGTATCAAACAAGACAAATTTAAAGACTGTACATGGCAAAATATGGCAGCCTTTGTTTCATTTTAATTTAGTCCTAAGGCTATGGTAGTTTCAGCCAACCCCTTTTCCCCACTTAAAGCTGACACTTTTTTTGTTTCTATTTAAGAGTTCAAAATTTTCTGATTTCTAATTCTCAGCTAAAATCCTGTTTGCCAGTTCTGTCTTACAAAGAATTCTACAATTAGATAACTATAAATATACTTACAAACAATAGGATCTCATGGCTTGCCAGTACATTTACTGGGAAACAATAGTGCAATTTTTGTTATCCGAGTATGTCACACGTTCCCAAGTGGGCAAAACACAGCAGCAAGAAAAGCAAGACAAAAAATCATTGGGAAAATGGCAATGATTCAGATGCTTCTAAAGCCACATGACTTACAAATCAACAGTCCACCTTTATTCACCTGAATTCATCCTAAGCATCAAAGCACAAGAGCCTTAATAAAACATGAAGGCAAGAGATTCTTCATTAGAATCTGGAACCTGCTCTTGCATTTTAGAAGTCAACATGAAAAGTAGTACGATATTACATATTAAAGTTTTATACATACTGAATGGATCTTCATTCCCAGAGGGGAATTTTATATCAAAACTGAGGCTATGAGGAAATGGCATTAGATACATACCCAAAATCCAAAACACAGGTGCTTGATGCAGCTACCCATGACAGCAGAAGTGTCTGGCAATCTGCCGTGAAAATTCAGAAGACTGTACACAAATTCATGCAGCACAAGTGCCATGAGTGAGCTCCTGACCTCAATCAAAGCAACCAAAATAGCTGCTTTCTAAATGCCATGAGAAGGTTGATTTAAAAATTAATATATAATGTCTAGCTGCCACCATTAAAAGACATGTCCTTTTAGGTTGGTTTTTTTATTATTATTATTTGTTAAGAGACAAAGTCACATTTAATGCTGTAGAAACATTCTGAAGATGTGTCAAAATATTTTCTTCTGCTAATATCCTGAAAATGCTGAAATTCTTTCTTTTGATGATAAAATAATTATTTCTCCTAAATGAACACAATAACTGTTACTTTGTCACCCACTCAAAGCTATGTTTTATATAGCCATACCACTGGGAGAGTTCTAGTTGGGTGATACAATACAAATAAAGTCAGTCCTAACTCTTCCCAGGAAACTCAAAAATCACTGAAGCTAACGGAACTGTTTACACAGAAAATCTGTATGGAGACAATAAAAGTAAGGAACTAATAGTCTAAGATCAAAGCTTAGTTTTTTGCATAAACCAAGACAGAAACAGGGATTTTATGAAATGGACCAAAGGGCAAAATGCTACTTTTCCCATCCTTCATCCTGTCTCACTGCTTACTACCAATGTGTAACTTTAGCCACTTCATACATGTTCATATAAACACATTGGGCACAAACTGGTACACCAAATGCAGAAACCCACAAATTCAGAAAACTGTTTATAAACCTCCAGGATTGAAAGTCTGATGCTTTATCAGAATCTTAAATCTATTTCATTTCAACTTGAATACATGGAATCAAGACTGCTTGGGTAATCACGGGAAGTAAAGTCGGGATTACAATAAAATCTGAAATCATTCACATGAACTCAACCAAACTGATTATACTTCTACAACACTGAAAAGTCATTTTTTAACTTTCCAGCTAATTCAAAGTGTCCAGTGCTCTTACCAGGTTGAATTACATGCTTGCAGTACACTGTCATAAGGAGCTGAGCAGATACACTTTACTTTCAAGAGGCTGAACAGTACCATTACCTCAAAAGACAGCAACAAAATCGCAGTTTAAACTTCCTCCTTAATCTTACCCTCTGGGGCTATCACTTCATATACATCCTTCATAACCCACTCTCTACAGGGGGTCATAGCAGGTAAGCTCCAGTGGCTTGATGTGAACGCCAAAAATACCAGCCAAATCAAACAAAACAACCCACAATGGGAAAAACAAAAAAAATTATCCCCAGGTACAAAGTAGCTATAGAACTGCTTTTATTCACTGCAAATATAACTAGCATATTTATTTTCCTCTCTTCCCAGATTTTTATTTGTATGGCTGTATCTAAATAGTGCTCTGCATATCAAGTATACTTTCTCTATACAGAGTTACGCCACAGACTCAAGTCCATTATAACAGCTTATTGTTAGGTTTTACTGTATTGCCAGATTGTTGCCTCAAACTAACATATGAAGTTGTTACCATTTGCCAAAACCAAGCTGACTAAAAATATGGTTGACTAAAAAATCTGTCCCATTTTGTAAAAGCTGAACATGTTATCATTTAAGCTTTATTAAATATTTCTCCCCTTCAAAATGTAAGACAAAGCTACTGGCCCACAAGGCTTTTATTCCCACTTTTTCTCGTATTTATGGCAGAAATTACATAAGCTCTTAGTTTTCGTTATTTACACTTGAAGTAGAGTGGTATGTCCCATCCCTACTGAAACTATGTCCAATGTAGTACAAGCAAAGGAGACATTTTTCCATTCACAGAAGAGCATACATAATGGACACCTGCTTGAACGTAGGAAAGAATAGACCAGTCATTATTATTACCTATAAGCTAATTCTTCATAGACTACCACCATTACCTTTAATAATACATAAGAAAGTGAAAACTTCTATTTTAGCTTAAGGCATTTGCTGCCATGGTATTTATCAATGACACTGGAATTCAAGGCTGAAAATCCTCTACCCTTGTGATTAATG